TTTCACTTTTGGATATTACAGGTGTCCATTAGAAATAATTTTCCTAGGGAGTAAAGCGCGGTCAGCGCGTAAGGTTGACAACCTTACCGCTATCTTTGAGCCGATTGTCTAGATAATGTGGGACCCTCAACGTCTGACAACCCTATGGGCCTTCATGGCCTGTTACAGGGATAGCTTTACTTTACTTTTTACTTACTTTACAGGTGTCCATTAGAGTGATCATTATTTGCATTTTTTTTTAATTCTTGTAATATCAGAGTTGCACTGTAACTAATTAAAACAAATGCAAAATATAGAGGAGGAAAGGAACAAAAATGAAGAAAGGGGAAAAAACATTTACACATCATCAGCGATTCACTAGCTGACTGCAAATGATATGTTAGAAGATTATCTTTATGTGTGTTATAATGAAGTTTGATTAACTGAATATTTGTATATTAAGAAGTTAGTGTACAGTTCTTATTTACACTGGAAAAATTGCATGGCAGCCCAAGTGCTAACAAACAGATAATGCTACCAAAAACAACCATTACTTTTTTTAAGAACACTGACAGGACTGTAAATAAAACAGTTCCCTCTTGTTTGAACTTTCACCTGGCAGAGTTCCTCACAGGGTGGGCACATGAGTGCACCTTTATGAAGCCATCCATTTGAGATGATGCGAACAGACAGCTCCTGCTGTGGGAAGTAACATGTATATGTGTAGTTTGTTACCTGCAACATGTGGGAGTATTTCAACATACTGAAGTTCATAGTCCACACATAAAGCCATGAAGACACAAATTCTGATATTATACTTTTAATCTATGTACTGTTATAAAGCAAAGCTTTGACAATCAAATCAAGAGAAAAATAAAGTAAGAACAGTTCTTATTGTTATTCATTTCTCAGGTCAGTTCTTTCATTATACTTCTTAACAGACACATTCCCAACTGGAACTTCAGTATAACCTACATATATTCTCAAGGATCTGTGAGGTATTTCCAGATATAATTTGAGCCTGAAAACCAATATATATATATGAAATGTTTGGGCCAGTATCTAGAGAATCTGAAAATCCCATAAACATACTGGGGGTTAATGCTATATTTAGCATCTCTTAAACGGTAAGCCACAAAATGAAAATTTGGAAGGAACAAAATCGTGCTCTTTACCAACCTGTTCCAACAGCAAAGAAGATGAATTTTCAATATAAGGCACAAGGGGTTTAAAAGTATATGAATACTTCATCTTCTAAATCATAAGGGAACAAAAATGTCTGCAGTCACTGTTGGCAGGAGGGATAGGGAGTTCTTAGACTTGTAATTAGCTGCAATTTTTTAATGTAGTTCCAAGGCTAATTGTGCACAACAGGCTAAATGCATTCATACTTTAATATATGCATCTCTTTTTTGAGGTCCTTTCCTCATCTCATGCTTCTAAGACTTGAATAGTAGTTTGACTTGGAGCAGTATATCTGCAGATGGGTATGGTATTCTCTTCCTTTCTGTATCTCCCTGCTATGAATCTTTTGAACATAATCAAATGCTTTCAGCCTGAACATGCTGAAAGTACCTTGTCTCTGCTAGTGAAGACCTACAGAAACAGACCCAGGAATCCGTGTGTAAAAAATATGTTCTCTAGACTTATCTTCTAATCCATGACCACAAAGAAAACAAAAACGATTTCAAAACTGTTTCTTTTGACCTCCACACAGTAAGAAATTCCTATAATGAGTGACTAAAAGAATTAAAACACTAATCACCCCCAAAATATTCAAACCCTTTTTATACTGGTGGAAATATCTGCACATAATTTTCTTCAAGTCACTGTTGCCTGACCACATGTTTCTGCAGACAAACTTCATTCAACAAATTATATTTGGTCTCCATGAATTTTACTATGTAAAGCATTTCAGCTTATGACCATAGTGTCACACATTGGCTATACAGATAGTTGGACTACTCACCACGATGTGTAACCTGCCTGCCTGGCAGATGTATTCATAACATCCAGAACCCCAGTGCTGCCACTGTCGCACTTGTCGACATGAGCGTTCTTCCCACATTTGGTTTGTGTGGTCAAAACATCGAGAGTTTGATCCATAACGTTCCAATGCAAAGTTCTTTTCTCGATCTGATCACAAAAATTTGGAATATTATATTTAAACATAACAAAATATTTAATTTAAAATGGTCATTCTGCAAAGATGTAGTATGTAACAGATATAAAGTAATATGAAACTAAAGAGAAGTAATACTTAACAAGGAAATAGTAACAAAGACTGCTCACAAAACAAAAGAGAGCTGATAAAGATCTCACTGCTTAAAACACTGACTGTGCTACAGTAGTCAAAATTGAAATTTACTGTTGAACTGAATTCTGTACAAGCTGAACAACTTCAGCACCACCGTCATCAGTTTTGACCTACCAGATATTGATTCAGCTCTGGAAACCAATGAAGAAATATTTGGGAGGCCATAGGTTTAAAACTGAAAATAACACAGGGACAGCATGGAAACAATGGTTAAAAGAACATAAAACTGATTTCTTTCAGCAAGGGACAGAAAAACTCATCCTATAGTGAAATATGTGCCTCTAGTCTTCACAAAAATTATGCAGAAAATTTTGTATCATTCAGTGATGTCATATTACCCATATCACAAAGTCCAGTGAATCACTTAAAGATATATACAGTGCAGTCACATTTTATGTGAGAATGTATTCCTGAAGACATCACATAATTCAAAACTCATACAATTCAAGATAAGTTTTCTCACAGGAATAAATGTAAAGTATTTTTAGGGATTCACATTATTTCAAACTTTGCAATAAAATTAGATTTTATTAGTTTTTTATATCACACTATTTCAAATTTGCATAAAGCACTAATGTGCTGTACCCTTTAATCCTGCTTTCGCATATTCACCTTATAACTGGATTACTGGCATAATCTACATGGAAACTGATTCAGGAAGAAATAAAGTCAAATGAATTCTCTTCTCTGCAGGATTTTAGGCACTCAGAGAAGTGGTTACGAAAAGGTCCATCTTCTGAATATAATGTTGTGTATTCCACTGAAAGTCAACTGATGTTCTTCCAAAACATTAGTTGACTTTCCACAATCTACATGGCATTATACCCCAAAGACAGAACTTTTCACTCTCTTCTCTGTCTGCTTATTCATGCTACTTGGTTTTCAGACAAGAAATATATTTACACAAAATTAAATCACAGTTACAGATATTCCTGGTATATGCCTGTGATTTCACACACAGAAATATTCAATATATAAAGATACAGCTATGATCTCATCAAAATCTTATTTTGCTCTATGCCCCAATTTCAGCCTGAACCAAAACCCTGAGGATGTCTTAAAAATGTGCTCTTCCAAGCACAAATTTTACAAAAAAAAATTATTACTTTGTATCTTATTTTCAGTACAGTAAAATAAAATAATAACTTGTTTTGTTTTGTTAACTTGGCTAGTAATTAATTCATATCCATCTCGCATATTTGTGATAAACCCACAAAAGAACTTCCTTCAATCACATAGCTTCAGCAACAATAACATTTAAATTGCATCTCCTTATTCACATCATCTTTCAAAGAAGGAAAAAATGTATATGTACAACATGATAACCTAACAGTGGTAATGTGAATACTGAATTCAATGTTTTTAAAGACATGAATGAACAATGCACTACCTTCTCTCACAGACATAAATTAAAAATCACTTCATCCAATACATACTCCACCATATTAGTCCATTCATTCCCATGAGCATTAACAATAAAAATATCAATAAGTATGCTTTGGTGCATTTGGCTGCTACAGAGATTAGGTGAGATAGAAATATAATTAATATTAATGGATCCAATTTTACTAGTACTGCAGTTCAGTGGTGTATATATGTCAGCCATGTATTTGCTTGATGATGGCTTTTAATAGCTGAAACATGTAGCAGAGCCAAACTAGGCACTGACCTTAATATAGTTGTGTTGTGACGGTTTTAATAAAGAAATTGCTTAATTTACTTCCATTCAACTTCTTAAGCATAGTCCTTACTACATACTTGGATTATTCTCAAAATACTGGCAGTGCGAACCCCGCACGATCACATTCTTGGAACGCCAAGTGAACTCCTGGATGTATGGACAGTAGTCAGCCAGGGACACTGAACCACCATAGAAGCTCTCCTGCCCTGGTTTCACATGTGGAATTGAGTCAAAGTTCTGCAAGACAATCATAAATCAACAAATCATCATATTGAACATACAGCCCTCCTAATACAAGCTGTGCAGTGCTAAATATCCAAATGCATTGTGTTCTTTGAAATATTTCACTCTTAACTGGTCTTTATGTTCATTTATTAAAAAAGCTCCATGGTACATGATCTAGCTGGTGGGATAAGGTTCTGGCTAATGAGAAAATGGTCATAGCATTGAACAGAACTTGAGTCAGCAATTTTGCTTATAACTGTAAATATGTTAGGCCCAAAGGGTTGTTTGTTTATTGTTTGTTCTTCTGTTTGCTTGCTTGCTCTCTCACTTGCATGGATGAGAGGGAAAATTCATTATTCAACTCTGCTAAATTTGTCAGATATAACCTTGATGGTTCAAACTACAGCCATGTTTATAACTGTTGCCTTACAACTTTCATACCCAGATGTAAGTAGTTCCTAATCTATCTCCATATAAGATTATTTACTCCTCTTACCAATGATTCAATAGTTATTGTTCCCAAAGATAAAGTAATATTTTTGGATGGCAACCATGTTGTTTTATATTCTACAAAAGAAAAAATACCTTAATGACAAATAGTTTATTGAAGATCTATTTACCACTATTATTTCACGATCATATAATAGATGTTTCTAGGGACATTTACATCTCAAAAGGTTGTATGCTCCAGCATGGTATTGCCACTGATAGATTCTGTGAAAATTGGTCAGCTGGTTCTAAGTTGAAAGGGAATATACACAGCATAATTATTTCATAAGTTCACTTTTATTTCTGAAATTAGACAAAAGTTACAAAAACCTAACCTATATTAGGGAACAATATTGAGACCCTGGGCGCATAGAAGTTAACTTGCTTAAAATGCATTTATAAGATATACGAGTAAGTCTTCAATATATCTGACAGCAATCTAAAATACAATGATGCTTGGAAAGATAAGATTGATGCACTTATTCTGTTTGTCTGACCTGGTAGATGAGTGGTAGCTTTTCCTGGTGTTCCACTAGATTACAGAGAGCCACGGAACTGCGATCTTCAGTGCACTCTGTCTCCAAGGGATCACGTTTTACCTTGTTGCAGAATGGGTGTATTGATTTCCCACTACAACATGAAACATACATGCACTGTATGTTCAAACAAGATCAGAAAGTACTTGTAATATTCCACTTTACAAATGTATTTTGTGTGTGTGTGTGTGTGTGTGTGTGGGGAGGGGGCGTGCATGCATGCACATGCGCACACACGTGTGTGTGGGGGGCATACAATACAGTATTTCATTCAATTTCATATATTATTTGTCAAATCACCACTTAGTTCTTACTTTCATGCAAATTCATGACATGTTTTGGTCACACGGGGCTAACATATATGATCATTTTCATTAACCAATATATTGTAACGTCATGCTATCAATCCCGTAAGTTTATTTTAGAAACCAAACTGGTTCTTGTTTAACTCATTTATTTAACATATGCAAACAATTTAAAAATTATTTAAATTATGTAAAATGATGTACTGTTTGCCATGTCGTTCTTCTTTCTTGTTCTCTGTTTTTTGCAGTGAGGGGTATTTCGTGGGTGGCACGTTGGTCATGAGCTCTGGTGGCCAGTGTGTGCGTATGAACTCCATCCATAATCTTGAGGCTGAGGAGTTCTGTCTTTCAGATATAAGTTCATATAGTCTACTGAAACTCAACTGACACTTCAGAGGAACATGTCACCTCAATTTTCAGAGTCAAAGGGTATGCAAAGTAAGAAAGCAGTGTGAAGCTGGCACTGGGCAGAGTTTTGCGTGCTCCTTGCTTCATGCTGGTTTCTTGCAACTGTATGTAAATGGTTAATCATGAAGACAGCTTCAATCCTGTCAGTATTTATCTGCCTTAGAATTATCCATGTTCTTTCTCAGTCTCTCTAATGAATGCCAGGCTAGTTTCTTAAAATAGGTCATCTCAGTTTCCTCACATCCTTTCCAACTCACTGCTCATAAACATCTTGCCACCTCTTGACTCTACACAACTTCTGTGAATGATATACTTCTATCACTCACCTTACAGTTTTATTGTCCATCCACTCCTTGCAGCTCTTCATTGCAAAGTCACATCCAAAGTTCTTGCCCCAGCTGAGGGGTTGTGCCATGCTGTAATTGGCACGGTACCACCCCGTGTCCTCCATCAGAGCCAGAGTAATGCGTGAGTAGACAGGGTTCTGTGTGTGTGTTCCTGTCATGGCTTCATTCTAAAACACAACCCATGCATAATATATGACAATCTTCTAAGGTTGTTCTCTTTAGCACATATTTATGTCTGTTAAGATAGAGCATTCTAACAAAGTTTTGTTATTCTTTCCTTGGAATCCTACCAGCAAGGTGAATATGTCGATCCTCCATTTGAAATTTAAATATCAGTAGCATAGGCACTATTCTTCAACGTTTATGAACCTCAGTATAAACAGTATGCCACTGAGAGGACAACCCATCTTGGTTATTTATAAGGCACAGTCATCAATAATACCAACATGACTGCCTTTAAATCTTATGAGGTTGGAACAAAAGCAGCACCAATCAGACTAGGTCCTTGCAGTTTTCTGCTGCTGTACTGAATGACTGTGTACATATCACACATGGTGTTTATAAGGTTCTGACTACATTGTTGTACTGAAAAATAACAGATAAATATAACAGTTCCTGAAGATATCAAAAGATTAATTGAATTTCGTACCTTTACAAGAAATAAATCTTAATATTTCAATGGTTTATTATTATTATTATTATTATTATTAGAGGGGGTGGGTTTCCCCATGCACTTAGCCCAGTTATTGGTCCATTGTGCATCCCCCTTTAATTTCTACTGTCCCCATACCCTACCAGTACTGGTGCGTGCTATCAGCCCCGTTCAGCCAATGAGGTCGGCTGTTGGTACCTGATATTTCCCCCATCTACCAAAGGCATTGGAAACTACTTGGGCGGGAAATTGTTGCCTAATTAATTTTGCTCAGAGGTCTCCTAGAGACATGAGGATCTTTTACGTGCCATAAATCTACGACACGGGACCCACAGCTTAAAATCCCTTCCGGAGGACTTGTTCCCTGAATTTTTCTGCCCTTAAAAATTCCACGACCTCCGCCTGGTTTGAACCCGTGAACCTTGAGTCATGAGGTGGGAACGTTACCCCTAGACTACGGAGGCCGCTTTTCAATGGTTTATTCATTCTGTACATATAAACATTACAACTTTTACTAACACATTATATTCCCTGTTACTGCATAAACTGCACATTAAATTTACTACAGAAAGGATTGAAAAAAACACATTTCATTTATTTCCACAGAAATCTTTCAAAAACAGGATGACATCTTTACAGATGGCAAACACAGGAATGTCTATCCAAGCCAAGGTGTGAAGAATTATGCCAAGGGCTGTGATAATAAAGTCATGAATAATTCTGTTGGGGCAACAGGCATAATCTCACTGTATTTATGCTTTCCACGGGTATAGGGCTTTGCAGGTGGCGACGTTTAGACTCATTTTTCTTGAGGGACCTGAGTGAATGCCATAAGGTCCACTCCTCTGAAAGCCTAGGGGGAACGGAGGTAAAGCACCAGGCTTTCTTAAATTTGGCAATAGATGGAGATAGGTAGTCAGCTTCATATTCCAGCTGGCATTTCACTGGAGAAAGTGATCCTGGCACTCACTGGATAGAAGGCAGGATGTTCCCAGGCCTGATCTGGATGTGATGGCAGAAAGTATCTATAGAGGTAGAATGTTTCTAATTTATGTGTTTTTAAATACTGTACATGCTTATTTTCTAACGGTCATTGTCTCTGAAGACAGACAGACAGATAAATGCAGCCCACAAATCTTAGAAAGAATAGCATGGGACAAATCAGGGTATAGTAGATGGTATTTGGAAACACAATTCAGTTACACAATATTCCTCAAGCATAAATAACCACACATATTAAGACAGATGTACAATCATAAAATAGGCCTGTACATAAAATATTCTTCCCTTCAGTGTCTAAAATTTTTGTTTGTCTGTAACATTTACTAATCAATTCATTATTTATTAAAACATATCTAAAAATATAGTATATTATTCAGACCTTTACATATATAGAGGTGAAGCACAGTATTATTGCCAACATTATGCTTCACTGATAGATATTTATTAACTGACTCAAATATCTATCTACTTATCTCATGCAGACAGACCTTGTGCACATAGAAAGTTGCAAAACATGCTTAAAAACCATAAATCAGTACTTGCCTCAAAGACTCTCTTCTCCCAGTGTGTGAGAGCAGTCCCCTCCTCTCCTTGGTCTTCAAGCTCGGCTCCCTCTAGATCCCAGCAGTCAAAGTGCTTGCGTACTTCCTCTACCACACGAGGTGTCACCATCATCTGCACCTCTCTATCCATTCGACCGCCATGAACAAGCCAGTTGCTACGCACTACTGATCTAATCACACGATCACTCCACTGTCGAGTCAGAAGCCTAAAGAAAAGCATGAGAAACATATCATTTGATTAACAGTAAGTTATCAACATGTACTGGGAACGAAAAAATACACAAATCATAATCCCATAATCCTACTTTTTTCATAAACCTGGATTCAAAGTAAAAAGAATTTTCATATTTTTGCATGGAAGGAAATCCCAAATAGGGATAACCTAAAAGAAAGTTTAGCAAAATTATATGCAGCACTACGAGTATATATATGTTTATTGACCTTTTTGCTCTATTAGTAAGTTCAATTTCCCTTCAAATTTGGAGGCAAACATGTCCTTGGTTTTAGTTTCCCTAGAATACGTATAAGGAAAACAGGATAAAACCATGATAATCATTTGACCACTAACTGTTAAGAAATAAACTAGTAAATGAAAAAAATCACATTTCATTCAAATAACAAAGCCATCAATGTATATGCAATCTATTCTTCAGTTGTTTAATAGTACTGTATCAGGTACACAAGTATACATTATATGTTAAAATAATTAATGAGAATTCAGGCGTCAACATAAATACAGCAGTAACAAGATAGGCAGTGACTGTAGCCTGTTTTAAGGTGCCTACTTGCCTGGAGAGACTAGTAAAATCAAGTAAAGCTTCAATGTAACTGATAATCCATAACAGAGTACTTCCTGAGAAGCTTAACTGCATTCAGATTTTCGAGACATTTTGTACCTTTTATCGAACCCAAAGGTATCAATATGAGCCCATCACAGATCTATATCTTATGGCTTATGAATCCAGTCCATGACCTTCAATCCTATTCTAAGACATACTTTAACATTATCTACCTGTCTATACCCAGGTATTATAAAGGTCTCTACCCTTCAGATTGTCATATCAAAATTCTGTATGCACTTCTGGTCTCCATCATGCCTCTCCCATCATTTAATTGCTCATCCTAATAATATTTACCGAGGATCACAAATTATTAAACTCCTCATTATGCACTCTTCTCTAGCTCCGTGAGCCAGAAAATTTGTTAACAAATTTCAGACTCATGTTTAAGCCATTTGAGATTCTTTACTGATTTCCCTAGCATAGTCAGAAGAATAAATTGTTTAAAACATAGTTTCAATTTTTCAGTATTAATATCTGATATATTTCCTTCCTATTTTCAATTTCAGTTTTTTCAGACAGGGCTTTAGGCATGGAACCTTTCTGTACATGACATCCTAATAAGCTCTACCCCCTTAACTGCTGATATGATTCCCTTACATACAAAGAATCCATTCATAAATGTTGACTAATATTCCAATTTCCATAGGGAAATGTATCATGGCATATAGAGCCACTGTTAGGTAATGACTGCAAAGTAAACAGTTATACAGCAACCATTGCTAAGTAATGGCTAAGTAGCAATCATGTGGGCAACCCAACAGACACAAACGCAGCAATGGATACAGCACCAGAGGAGCAATGTTTTCTGTATGGTTCATTCCAAGATGTTATAAGCAGGACAACTGGAGGAGCTGTGGGACAGTCGCCAGCTGGTAAGAACGTGAGCACAGAAGCAGAGGACTTGGTTGTGATCTGTCACCAGGCAATGACTGGTGAAGACACAGCACATTGAGAAGGCTTAGTACGTGCTGTAGTGAATGATAAAGAGTGTGAATTAGTGATAGCACTATAGTTATGTCTAGTTACAATCTGTAAGTGTTCAATAAATCCAATTACCAATCCAAATCCCACCTACAGTTACTCATACACGTGACAACATAATCATCCACTGGCTCAGTACCACCCACCACCTGATCTCATATACTCCCACTAACTGTAACTTACACTTTGTGAATTCTCTTCCT